AAGTCACATAGATCAATCTTCCGAAGCCCGTCACGCAGACCAGAAATAGTCACAGCAGCTATGCGTCCCGAAGAAGCCAATCACTCACACCTAGCTGGCTTTCTAGCAATTATCAGGAAGTAGAACATCTTAGAGGCCGTCTGCATAGCAACGCAGACATTCTCTCCAGGCGACTATGTTTAGAACGAGAATGCAGGTACAGTAAGGGGCTCGGAGAACGGAAGAACCGGTTGATAAAGTTATTCTTCAAACCAGAGGGCGACGAAGAATAAATCACCCCTGAAAGCCTGAGAAATTGACAGAAGAAAAACAATGACTTGAAAGTTGTCAGAGAATGGCTCAAAACTAAAATTACACTTACTTGGCAAGAGATAGCCAAATACAGTGAAGCTATTAAAGAGTACTGGACTGGATTCCATGTATCTTCACGATGGCCTATTGCACCGGAAGTCGGAGACCCCCGATGGAGTACATGTAGCCTGCCAAGTGGTATTGCTGAAATCACATGTCAGAAGTGAGTTGGAAGAGCTTCACTGTAGCCGTTCGGGAGGACATTTTGGTACTAAAAAGACATTGGTACGAGTTCGGGATGTAGCGGATTGGTGTAAAAAATGTGATGTATGCAATGGCTCGGGAACAACTGAAAGCCAACAGCGATAAAATAGAAGCTAGAATCGACAGGCATGCTACATGGATATATTTTGAGAGCAAAATCGAAATTTAAATCTTATTCACAAATTAAACTAAATTATAGACTAGAGGTGGGACGCAATTTTTGGACCGTTACACGCCCTCCTTACCACAAGAAAAGAAAATATTATTGTAACATCCTTTGACCCTTCACGAATATACACAAGAGTCCAAAAATATTTGACTCTACAGGGTGAATCGTATATAATTAAGGACATTTTTTTTTGTAATTACTTTAATTTTTTTAGAAGTTGAAAATATCTACAAAAAATTTTAGGTGCCATTTATACAGCGTGATTCGATTTTTTTTACTTTGTCAAAAAAAAAAGATAAATCACCCTATACTTTTAGTCCTGCAAAGGTGTTTCTTTACTATGTATCAACCAAAACAAATTTCCAAAAATTACAGCTTTTTAATATGATAAGTTTTTAAGAAATACCCATGTTTTTTTATTGGTTATTTACAGGAGAAAGCTAATCAATTGCAATTTTTTGTGACTAATTTTATTATGATATCTTATGGCATTCCGCGAACATACACATGGGTCAAAAATATTGTCGTCTACAAGGTGAGTCGCAAATAAGTAAGGAAATATTTTTGTTAATGACTTTTATTGTTCTAAAAGATGAAAATATTTATTAAAAAATAAATTATGTCTAGATTTACCATTTTTAATGATAAATAAAAATATTTTAGGTACTATATATGCAGGGTGATTAGTAAATATGATTTTTAGGTACTGATTTTTAGGTACTGATTTTTAGGTACTATTATTATTAACAGAACGGATGATACGCCAATGAAAAAATATGTAGTTTCACAGGACTAATCAAAAATTTTTTTTTAAACATTGATAAATTTGCTATCAATATATGTATTAAATATTTACGAATCACCCTGTATAAATGGCACCTAATATCTTTTGTATTATCATTAGACATGATAAATATAGCAATAATTTATTTTTTAATACAATAAAAGTAATTATCAAAAACATGTCCTTACTTATTTGTGGCTCATCCTGTAAAGGAATATAATTTTTTACCCCTTTTTATTTTCGTAGAATGCTAAAAGATGTTACAATAAGACTTGGAACAAAAATTATAATAGATTAGGTTTCTCTTGAAATAACCGTTATCAAATAAGTGGTATTTCTTAAGTTTAACACCCTGTATCTTAAAAACCAGTCATAGAATTTGAATGATCCCATGGACACTATTGCTTGAGAGGTCGAGGACTGCAACATATCAAAAATTTATGACATTTAAATGGTCGCCACTTTTCCACATAAGCGATGTGCGGGGTATTTTATTAATATTGAAAATATTTACCGAAAAGCCTGCCGAATACGACAGCTTTAAATAACTACCTGACACGAATGAAGATTTTAAATGAGTGCAATAAAAAAGTCGTATGCTTAGACATAGGTATAAGACAGAAAGTTTAACGACACCTGCCTGCAGCTACTTGGGCCCTGGCTCGCCGGGCTGTGGTTGGTTACTGAAAGAACATATGACTCAAGTTCAGCATATTATAGCCTGGACTGTACATATCATTTTAGAGCAGTTAATTATTTTCGAGTAATAATAATATTTATAGTAACTGTAATAAAATAGTAAAATCCGTCTTAAACAATTTTTTAAATTTATAAAGCACTACATTACATGTTTCGGAAAATTTAATGTTTCCATCTTCTGGTTCACACAATGTTATAATTTAAAAATAGAAGAACAAAACAATTTAAAATGTTCAAGAGACAGGCGAAATTCTTTCTTTTCGTTTCACACCAGAAAATGGAAAATAGTAGTTTGTGCAACAAAAGTGGATATGATGGCTATTTCGCACGAAAACAAAGTTTGAACACGATGCCGTGGGCGTCTGAGTGCGATATGGACAATCCATTCGAGTACAGTATATTTTTTCTACGACCCACTAACGAAAATCTACAAATTTAAAAAATAATTGTAGGTGATTAAGACAAAATAACTAATTTTAAAATAATTTATGACTTTTGTATACCCTTAATTAATTAAACATATGTAGTGCTAATTGTTTATGACCGATTTAACCAAAGAACTTTTATTTATACATGGTGAATCTTAATTTATTACTTTTTTTAACTGTGTATAGAAGTCAAACTCAAAAATAAGAAAGATACAGTATTAAAAAATTAAATCCGGGATTAAACTTCTGTATTAAATATAAAGCTAATTAATAAATCTGTTTGTATTTATCCTTTTTTTTTTTTTCAGTATTCTTATGAACCATGATGAATACTAGTATTCAGTTGAATTTGATTTTGGTAGTGTGTCGTGTGTTTATCTGAAGTATTAAGTGAGTTTCTGTATGGTAAATTAAAAATGAAATGCGTTTAGAAGAACAGATTTGAAATGTTTAAATGTTCTGTTTTGTGAATAGTTTTTACAACAGCCTGAAAGTTCTAAACATTATTTTTTAAGTGTACATGACCGCATTGGATACATTAATGTAAGTTTCCTATTTTTAATTTGTTTTGTTTTTGAAAAATTGTTTTTTTTATGATTTCTGTACACAGTTAAAAAATATCAAGTTATTTAAAAAAGAAAAATAATTACAACTCAAAGTGATCAAGACGTAATATGAAATAAATAAAACACAAAAACAAGCGACCATTTCTCTTCAGAAAACAATTACTCCTTTGGATAATACCGCAACAGGCACTGAAATGTATTCGAAAGAAATACAGTAGATATAGAAATTTAATTTCAACACTCTACCTTTGATTTTGTTTACTAACTAAAACGTTGTTCTTGGACCGATTTCGTCCTTATTATGACTCATCAGCAAGAAATAAATAGATTCTCTAAGTCTTCCACTTTTGTTGCACAAACTACTATTTTGTCGCAATCATTTAAAACTTTTATTCCTGTCAGATAGTTATTTAAAAGTTTTATTCGTCCGGATTTTTGACAGATATTTTCAATAATAATTAATAAATTTGTTATGAGTGCCTAAAGTATATTTTTGGCGTATATTAATAAAATAAATTCGAGGCAGTCTGGTCATACCTCGAGTCATACTTCATATCTTTGAAATAGTCTGGGATTTTTATTTTTAGATTCTGTAAATGCTTAAATAAAAAAATTAAAATAGTTTCAAGGTGCTTAAAGTATATTTTTTTGGTTAATTTTTTGCTAATGTTGCGCAGTAGCAAAATAACCGTAAGTGCTCTTCCAGACTCGATTTTAGATTCACTAACATCGATTAGTAATGTTTCTTATAATTTCTAATTGCCTAAAATATCTTCCCCAAATTCATCATCAGCTCTTCGACTATTAGTATCTTAAAGTACTAATCTGGGATTATCAGGACCTTTTCCGTAGAAAGGTGTAAACTACAGGTAATTGTTGGTGAACATCACCCTGAATATTTAATATACTTGTTTCGTTTCTAATTGGTTTGTATATAGACTGTACAAACTTAAATAAATTATATTCCTGAGCTCATTCAAGCAAAAAATATCCGATGAAGAGCTACAAGCGTTCAAAGATCAGACTCTTATGTTTTCAAAATTTGTGGCCGTTTGTTTATCAACAATTATAAACGTCAGTTGACTAGTTAGTCCCACACTTGTCAACTACGTTTTCTGTTTGTGTTAAATTTAAATTTGTAAAATGCCTGTGCTGTTTTCGAATAAGGAATATGCCGACATAGTGTGCATTTATGGCTTTTGTAATGAAAATTCGCTAGCTGCTTGTAGGGAGTATCGGCGACGATTTCCGTATCGAGAAATTCCAAATCATCAAACATTCAGTGCTGTGTTTCGACACATTGGAACACATGGCATACTACGTTAATTTATCTTCTGATCTTTAATGCTGTAGTTCGGTAACCACGGAAAATTGGATATTGGATATCACAGGACATTTTTTGTTTGAAATAAACTTAGGAAAACGCTATTTAAGTTTGTATAGTATGTAAACACCCTGTATGAAAAGTGGTTTTACCTATTGATAAGAATTTTTAGCTTGTGCACCAAATATACACGCTCATACAAGTTGAATTAGTCAAAGGAATTAATAATTCTAATTTATTAATATTCCTCATAAATATATTAAAATCTAATATACCCAGAATTGTTTTACATTGTTTTAATATATTTACGATAAACGTATTTTTGCGATATAATTTTTTCTTTGTGTAGAAATATTCCCATAACCCTTTTTATTTTGTTGGATTTAATCGGCTTAAAATCTTTAATTCGTAGAAAATCTGATGCTGGTTGCATCTGCATCCGTTTGAATTGTATTGCTATTGTTAGTTTTATTACCTGTCCATTTTGTCTAATGTAGTAGGTTGATGGATGATTGTTTGGTCCATCTCAATTTCTACCACACTTTGAGCCCTCATTTCTAGTTCTGAAACAAAAAATGTAACAGTTAATTTCGCAGAAAAAATAATCGGACAAGAAATAAAGAAAATAAATGTAATAGTTTTTAAGAAAACTTAATTGTGGATTGTGTCAAATACGTTAATGAGTGGCATTGGTTTGGGTTTACTGCTGAAATTATTATTCTTAGTTTTAGCCAGTTTGGTCACGTGGGATACGGGTATTGTTAAAGAACTGCACAACAATCGCACAAAACTTACTCGAAACTTGATAAAAAAAATTGTTTTAACAGTAATGACGCCATATAAAGGGTGTTTCCTAACCTCTCTGACAAAAGGAAAGAGGATAATTCTCACTTAATTTAAAGACGAAAAATGTGGTATACAATTTTTTTAGAATGTCGCTTCGTTTTCGAAATACAGGGTGTTGAAAAAATGGAAAACGATATTTCAGTGATATTTGTATAAAGGATTTTAGTACTTTACTTTGTGTCCATCTGAATAATAGTACCATAATTCCGCAAAAATAAATTATCTAAAACGAAGCGACATTCTAAAAAAAATTATACCACTATTTCGTCTTAAAATTACGTAAGAATTCTCCTCCTTCCTTTTGTTAGAAAGGTTAGGAAACACCTTGTATATAGTTCCATAATTAAATTATTTGAAATAATAATCATCCAGACATTATTGGGAAATTAATATCCTATAAAAAAACTAAATTACACTATAACGGAAATTGTGTTCAGATCATATCATGTAACATCGTTGCAATATGAGCTATGAAATTTCGCTGTAAATGAAATTACAATTACTACGTATTTCATTACGTGAACTACGGCAAAGAATAATTAAAAAATTGCTAAAAATAGACCAGGTTTACATAGTATGGAAGGGTTGTTCATTTTGCGATGTGTCTTGGCTGAATATCGATTGTATACTTTTTACTTTTATACTTAAAAATGTGTTTCTAACAAGCTAGTATTTACATTATATGGAGTGATTCACAATTTTTTTTTCTAAATTAGGTCTTGGCTAAATCCGCGCATAAATAATAAAATTTATTAACTAATTCAAAATATCAATACATAAATTTTTATCAGGATAGTACAAAATAAATAAAAATACACTGAAAAATACATTTCTTATAATTTTTTTTGCATTAAAATGTCGCGTAAAAGCCAACCCTGTGTTTTATTTGCCCACATTATGAAGTCTAGAGCTGGCGTTATATAGAGACAAACGCACCGCTTCTCGAAACTACCAGAAAAAGCGGTACGTGGCCGTTGAGTCATAGAGATGGAATTTCGGACACTCGAGATCGTCTAGAAACTACTAGTATAGAGTTGGCTTTATATAAATAGCGCGAGTTCGTCGACGGACGGGCCGATTAAATTTAAGTGTTGGACAGAAAAGATAAATTGTAATAAATAAATTAGAATTGTGTAATTGTGTATTATATAAATTAATTAGTACGTTATTTGTATTTTAAATAAATAAATTAAACAAACGCTACAATAAAATAAATATGATGGTCACATCGGAAGTGCTCAATCATCTGAGTTCGATACGGACAATCCACTCGAGTTGTACAGTATATTGTTTCTACGACCTACTAACGAATGTCTACCAACTTTAAAAATTAATTTAGATGTTATCGAGATAAAATATCTATTTTAAAAATAAATTATGACTTTTAGTAATTTGTAAAATAAAATAAACTTTAAAAAAAGATTTTATTTAACTAATCTTCAATCCTGAATTTGAACCCCTCTGGCCTTTAGCATCGTATTTCAGTGCTCTCTACCACCGCACCAGGGACACACCTGATTTTTTATGTTTAACCAGTTGGAAAAAAATCAAAACTTTCGACTTCTTTAATTAATTCCGTCTTTTTTTAATCAATTCAAATTAAAAAAATATATTTACTTACTAAAAATCCAAAAATCAACAAAAAAACCAACGCGCAAAGCTAAAGCTCAACTTCTTTGAATGAATTTAGACAAAAAAAATAATTTATTACTAAAACAAAATCCAAAAATCAACAAAAAAACTAAGGCTCAAAATTCTAGCGCAACATAAAAAGGGCAATACCTATTTGAATTAAAAGCACAAAATAAGAGACTAAGGGTTTGTAGTAATTCATATTATTCAATACGTTTTTGAATTATGTAAACATAAATTTTCTTAAAAATATATGCGAATATCAAATTTCGTTATTTATAATAGTGATGCCGCGAGACAAGGCGAGACGAGAGAGGGCGAGAGAAAACTGTTCTCTCGTCTCGACGAGAAGACGCTTCTCTCGCTCCAGAGAGCCTTTTTCTCGTCTTGTCTTGTCTCGTCTCGTTTCTCTCGTGATAAAACATTATCAAATTTAATTTTGAAAAAGACGCAACATGAGAGAACGGTTAAATTTGTAAGACAAAAACAAAGAATTTTTCAAGTGATATGCGCATTAGGACTCAAATTTGGCAATAAGAAACACTTATGTCTCTGTCTGTCACAGTCGTTTTACAATTGAAATTTGAAGTAATAAGTGGCCCAGATTCGGCATTAACTAAAAACGAAAATACTTTGTCTTGTAAATCAGTTGGGGAGGGGATGGAGAGGTTAAATTGGAAGTTATAATTTTTCTAATGCAATCCTGCAATGTCAAATGAAAGCATTTTGTAGTATGTTATCAAAATGTAAGAAGATAAGAGACATAAAACAAAAACGATGTGAAATTAGAGGGCGTTGCTATCTTTAAATTGTTTAATGGAAAATAAAGTCATGTAATACCTCATTTGAAAGATATTTTGATTATATTTACGTCCTAGCACACAGTTTAATTTTTTTTTTGTTTTTACAAAAATTACATTCTTAATAATCCTCGTGTGCCGTAATAATCCTAGAAATGTTAGATAATGTTAGAAGAGAATTTTTTAATAAGCTTTTTTTGCCAAGAAGTTATGAAAAATTTAATACGTCAAGTGGTTTTTAAATCACCTTTGATATTCTTAATTTATTTATTTTAGTAAATACAAGAAGCGTTTCCTTAGTAATAAACAATAATTATTAATACGACAGTTATCAAGAATGTAACTTATTAGTAAAGGCCCAGAACATGTCTGTATAAGAACAAAGTACCAGCTACAAAAACTGCCATTTGTGCAGTGTTAAATACCGTATCAGTAAAAAAATACTTAAATTTATAAAAGATACTGACATTTACTCTGTACTAGCCAAAATGTTAATGATCCTCTGTATACTATTGTAAAAAACAGCATTTATAAGGTATTATACCTCCGGTAATGATCCTTTGAGGTTGAAGCGGTAAATAAAAAAAAGAATTTATCCTACTTTATGAATTTATTTAATATAATTTCTGTAAAAACATAAAAATCTAAATCTGTTTACATGAACGTAAAAATATAGAAAATATCTTTCAAATGAGGTATTACATGACCCTAATTTCCATTACAATATTTAAAGCTATTATCTCCATCTATCTTACGTGTCTCAAGTAAAGTGCATCTCGTTATAACAAAAATATAATATCTCTTGAGTTTTACTTCGTTTTTGTTTTCTCATTATCTTTTTTTAATTTAGAAGTTAAAATAAACTGTATATAATACAATCGTTTGTATTACCTTTTCTTTGATAGTTTTTCGAAAAAAAATTTCAACTTATCTTCAAAAGTAACCTCAGAAAAGCAGAATGGATTTAATATAAGAAATGATTGTATAAATTTTAAATAAATAAAATGAGAAATATTTTTTCTTATAAATCACTATTTATAAAATCCTAATAATACAAGTATCATTTGTTACCATTTAATATATATAGAATAGGTGTGTTATAGTTAACTTTTTGACTATCTCGAAATCTAATATGTTAAAGTTTTAAGTTACGATAAGCAATTGAAAATTTCAAATAAGCAAAGAGAAAATTGTTCGAGAGAGCCCGAGAGAAACGAGAAATTCTCGTCGAGAGATGACACTTTCTCGTCTTGTCTCGAATCTGTTTTCGAGAGAAAATGTCTCTCTCGTTTCGTTCGAGACAAGACGAGAATCTCTCGTCTCGCGGCATCACTAATTTATAAGAGTAAAAAGGAAATATAAATAAATAGAGGCACAATAAAATCTCGTTTTTTGCACAAAATTGTCAACACTGATAATTTCGGTATTCTGGATTGGGTATCCCCTCATTTATTTCGAACATTTCGGTCTTTCAAAGATTTCCCGACGCGCACTGCATTCAGTGTTTTCAAAATTAAAGGATTTTCTTCAATTAGTTTGACCGAAAATTTTAACAAAGGATTTTACTCATATTTAAAGGATTTTGAGGAAAAATCGTATATTTAGCAAATATTCCATTTACCATGAAATTTGTTTTTTTTTTATTTAATATTTTTTATTCAATAAAGAGAATTATTATTAATATTATTATTATACGAAACGCTGTCGTCAGGACTCGCGTATCGGGGACAACACTAATCATTTGTAGTGCGCATGTCGTACGCGTTTTATTTGTACATCGGTCTCCTTTTGACAAAGTTGATGAACTGTGTCCAAGCCGTTGGTGTTTATGTCGGTCGGCGTAGCCAGGTATGGATTGAAATTTTACGAGAAGTCGTTACTTCGTCTTCTTGTCGTCACGGCAATATTATTATTTGTTCATATATGTGAAATTTGCTTCTAAGGTTTATAAAATACTACTGCTAGTCACGGCGTAAATGAAAACAAATAAGACGTATTCACGCAAACACCTCCCACCACAGCAATTACAAATGATTAGTGTTGTCCCCGATACGCGAGTGTCGTCAGGCCTATCGAATCGAGTGAATACGCCCATCTCTGCCATCTCGTGTGATACATTTTTTTGCACTATTTTTGTTGTATCTGCCACTGTTTTGAAGGATTTTGTCGATCCACTCAAAGGAAAGTGGTCAAAAAATCCTGGCAACACTGGCATTGTATTGTGAGTGCTGCACTGTTGTCAAATGTGTATTAAGTCCTGTTGCCAGATATTCAAGTTTGATAATGCAATTTGTTTCTATTCGAAGAAGTTTGAAATAATTCGTGATTTGAATAGAGTCATTTGAATTACTAATTCGCCAATTAAATCACTGACTTAATTCATATGAATTAATTTGTGCCAACCCTGTTTTTAATACTATTACTTAAATTGATTTTAGATATTTTCATAAAATTCAAGATTTATTTGAACAAATAGACGAATATCTTATTGCTAATATGCTATTATTTCTTCGCAAGAATCACTCATTTTTAATTATATTTAATCTCAATAACTAAAAAATATACTGACAATTAGTTTGACAGTAAGTATTGTCACTTATTTAAAATTAAAAAAAAAAAAAAAAATAGTTGCTTGGTGACCAAATATGAACTGTGATTGGTGGATTTCTTACCCGTACAATGTTCCTACTAGGGTGACGATTTTTTTTAGTCTCGTACGAAAATATGTTAATTTATCATGTTTTAAGACCCCCTCCAAAAGAGCAGCTCAAAAAAAATTTTTTAGGGGTCGCTAAGGATTTTTAAATATTTCAAAATTAGTCAAAATTTGATTTATTTAATTATGCTTTCATTGTTGTATTGGATTTTTTTCTGTCTCGTGATGAATTCTGATCTATTACCTTGCTACTTAAAAGCAAACATTGAAATTAATTCTTAATATTAAGATTTAGAGGTCGCTCGAAAACATCATAAGCAATGTTATTTATAAAAAATTATGAGCAAAAAAATAAAAAAATCGAATTTTGGCTAATTTTGATATTTTGAAATTTTGGAAAAATCTTGAGCGACGCCTAAAAATATTTTTTTAGCTGCCCTTTGGATAGGAGTCTTAAAACAAGATAATGAATAACATAATAGCATCTTCAAATACTGATATTTAAGAAATAAAAGAACTCACCCAAAGCTGGGGATAGGGTAAAGATAATGAGGAAAATATAAATGAACAGTGAACATTTGTGAGTTCTTACAATCGGCGATTATTGAAAGATGGTTCTATTCGTAGATATAGCACAAAGGGCAAAGAAAATAAAATACGTGTGGCACTCGGGGACTGCCGCGGTAAAGCTATTGCATAGCATTTTTTATCAACTTATGCAATTATAATTATTTATTTATTTTATTTATGAAGTATTTTTTTTTTCTTTGTTATTAATTCAAGTTTTTTCTTTGATATTAATTCAAGTTACACTTTTTGAGCGTGGTGACCGATAAGGAAACAAATTTTTTTCTTTTGTTGAATAAATGAAAAGTTAATATTGTTTAAAATATTTTTATTATCTTACAATACATGTAGGTTATTCAGGAATTTTTATCATTGAAACTGGTAACTCAAATAAGAAACATAAGTTTGAGACTTGATATCCTCTAAATATCTGTAAAATACCGCGTCAATGGTGCTCCCATATTTTGTTGTGGATTCTTGTGGATCATTATTCATTTTCAAATTCAATTTTTCCGAAATTATGTCTAAAAGAGATAGAATCAGTTATGAGCAGTTAGCAGCTAGTCTATACGCATACGTCTAGTCGCACGCACAACACAAACACCGTGCCGAAGTCTGCCGAACTGAAACGATGTTAGACGATGCACGGCTTTCAACGCCGCACCGCTGTGACGGTCGGAGTGGGGGGTGTTAGGTTTATTTTCGTTACGGAATTGTTTTTTCGATTTTTCTATTTTTCGGTTTTTCGATTTTCTTTTATTGAATAAATGAGAAGTTAATATTGTTTAACGCCGCACCGCTGTGCCTGTCGGAGTGGGGGGTGTTAGGTTTTTTTTCCTTACGGAATTTCTTGATTCGGTCGCCGCGCTCAAAGCCCGCGATAAAAGCTATGTAATAGCTTAAAACGATAAATTAACATATTTTCGTACGAGACTCAAAAAAAATAGTCGGTTTTTTTGCGCCACCCTAATGGATATGAAATATATTTATTCTGTAGAACGCAATGGCTTACTTTTTAGTTCTTTAGTCTGTACGTAGTTTGCATAAACGAGGAGATTCCCCAATACATCAGACCATAGGACAGAACTGACTGGACTTATTTTAAACATGTCAGGAGACTATATTTCTAATTTGTCTAAGCTTCTTTGTGACATAATCGATGTGTTTTTCGAATGTCATTTTACTGTCAATAGTTACTCCTAAAAATGTATGACCATAAACCTGCTCAATAGATTTATTTAATTTTATAAGATAACTGATGTTTTGTTATTTTGTAAAGAATTTTTTGGGACAAAAGACAAAAAATGTTTTTGAGTTATTAATAACTAAGCCATTGTCCGAATAATAACCAGTGAAACTACTGACTCATTACCTTTGTTTAATGCCGTTAGTAAGTTGTCTTTAATGATAAAATTGGTATCGTCTTCATAAAATATACTGTTATTAAATGGACATGAGTCATTCATATACATAATGAAAAGTACTGGCCCTAATATGGAGCCCGCGGTACACCATTTTTTTTTACTTGATCTGTGATTTTGGATTTAATATTACGGCATGACTTGTATCTCTGCCTTTGTCAGACAAGGCTTACTTTAGAAACATTTTTTGTGGATCACATGTTACCATTTACAAGGTGGATTAGTATCAATACCATCTTCTATTTGCTCATTCCTTTGGGTGTACAGTAAAATGTAATAATTGTTTATATTAATTTTCACTTTTTTATTTTGATTCCATTTTATATTCTTTATTAATTAGGGCCATTGTTTCTGCTGCATTTGTTATTATTGATCTTATTATTTTTCTGTAATGTCTTCATTTATCGTTTCTACTGTAGTGTCTACTTAGGTACATTTATTTAATTAGTCCATTTATTTGTATTAATTGTTTTATTTGTTCCTTCTTAATTTTTTATAACTTTATCCAACAAAATAGCTAGATCGAATTTGTTGGTATGTAGGTGCGATTTTGAATTTGTTTATACAAAATTATTTATAGAAACATAATTATACATAATTATTTTGTAAAGGTATTCAAGGTGGAATACTGTATTTGCCGTCGATTAATATTTAGTGGTGAATCCTTCTTTTGATCCTATCCAGGACTTCGTGTTCCATTCTTAGAAGCCTCTTCATCTTGAACTTCGTTTTTTTGTGTTAACTGCTTGTATTCTTTAGTCAATATCAAAATTCTGTACTTTCATAAGTAGTTGCTTCCTGTGTCTATAATTATTTATATTGGTCTTTGCTAATTTTATGCCAAGATCTTTCTTTTATCTATCATATTATTGTCCTCTTAAAAATTAATGTATGCAATTTTCAAGTTAACTTTAGCTTTTTTAAGAGCGTAAATCAAAGCTATTAATGTCTTCAAATCTATAAATAAAATACACGGTGTCTCACAAATGTTTTAATAAAAAACAAATTACGAACTGTCTTTAATTCTTAATCTACAATTTTAAACAGAATTAAAATGTTATTGCTAAAATAACCAATGAAAACTAATATCGGTAATTTTATTCTTTTTGTTTACAGAAAAGATTTTCAAAGAATGATAAATTTATCAGTTTATTATCACTGTTAATATTTAATTCTGCCCGAAGGACCAATAGTTTGGGTAAAATCTTTTGTTATTATTGGCGGTATCCAGGACAAAAGCTGTTGTCCTCTTGCTTGTAATTATGCTGATATAAGTTGATTTTCATATATCTGGAATATTCTATAAAGATCGTTGATTAAAATGTAGTAAACGAGAAGAGATATATTACGAATGTTAATGTTTGGATACGTGATTTAGAATACCTCAATGTCGCAATTACAATAGCTGTGAATCATCGCAGGTAAATGAGCAGTCAAGCCAAATTTGCTAGATCAAAACAAAGCCTGACAGCAGATGGAAGAATTGAATATTGTCTTGAGATGTTTATGTTTGTATTTTGGACGAAAATAATTACCTCTTCTGTTAAAAGGACGGAGCCGAACTGCAACTTTAATTTTGTCTGTAGACATTTTCGTTTTGTTTCACTAAAATTTACAACAAATATGTATTTTACACTATTATCACACTTTCTTTGTATAAATAATTGCTTTACTATCCATTTTCGAACATATTAAGTCACAAGGTAGCACTTATCACAACACGTAAATTCACAACTATCGCCATATTCGAGAACGCAATATTGGACATTGCGCCGTAACACTCATTTTCTATGGACTGCGCAAATTTTGTCTATATTCAGTATTTTCATTCTTAAATGGCCTTCTCAGAGACCTCTGCCCCTTATCGATTGAACCCTCCACTCTACGCCCTCTTAACCGCTTTTATGAAAGCAGTAATAAAGCCTAGCAGGTAGGTAACCCATTTTATTCGTTCCAGTGACATCTAACATTGGAGGTACTAACTTTTGTAGCGTTTCATCTTTTGGTTTACAGGTAACCGCAACGCGACACCAGTGCCATCTCCACAAAAACTTACAGACTAATAAGTATTATGTAATGAATGCTTTATCGATTATCCTAGTGTGTTGCGGAATAAAAAAACAGAAAACTTTAGACTGGTAACTGGTATTGATTAAAGTCATTCGTTGTAAACATAAATATTTATACCAGGATTAGTCACTATAGTCACTTTATCAAGATGATCAAGATAAAGCCACTGTAAATAAAGGTGTGGTCTGTGGTATTGATTACGGTTATGCCATGCCATCTTTATAACAATCCCATATTATTTTATTAAAACTGAAAGAATGTTTACAAAATAAAATTTATTAAACACACTTTATAAAACATTTCGGAACATTATTCAAGCAAAATAAACGCAATATATTTAGGGTTACCAGATTCAGGTTTTTACTATTTTACAGAAGCAACAAGAATATAAAGTAGAAATCTTTAACAACAAAAAATACAAAATAATAAACTAGATCAGAAAAATGATTAAAAAGATAAAAATCGTCGATAAACGCTTTAGTGTAAAACCATTAACTACGCGCTGTAGTGTAAAACCACCCTAAGCGGTTAAATTCAACGACGACGCTGGTGTCAATCCAACCCAAAAGTAGCATCATAAAAACACTTTGGGTTTATTTGAGTTTTAAAATGGTTTTAATGCGAATAAGGTTCAAGTAATTAATCTTAAAAGTTTGTTTGTATTGTTGTAGTTTTAAAATGGTTTAGTTTCAATTAACTTTAAAACTACTTAGTTTTATTAAGGATTTACAGGTTGTTTTTTTTAATTATGTTCTAGATTGTGACGTTATAGTTTTTAAGTATTTTTGTAGATATTCTTAATGTAACTAATAAAATCTATTATTAAATCTGCTTGATCTTAGGACAATTTGGTCAGTAAATAGTGCGTTTTAAAACTATTTCATTACTTTAACCTTACAACGGCTTTCTTAAATGCAATTAGAAAGCTATATTAAAACGGAACGCTTTTAACTAAATCAATTTGGTTATCGTTAAGACTATCTTTACTCTACTTCTTGTTAGGTTCATTAAGACTAAACCCATTTCCTCTTCTTTCGTGGCCCAAATTAACCCCGCATTTTGTATCATGTCAACCAGTGGTGTACCTACAATAATTAGAAAAACTGAAAACAATATATTATTATTTCTCTAAATATACACAAAACACAAACGAATGATACGACACGAAGATTTTAAGTTTAGGTTTACAGTAAAACCTAGCGGCATTTATAGGCGCATTAAAACTAAACGGTTTAAATCACAAGCGAACCTTGCTTTTGTCTAGGGTATGTGCTCTTGGAACAGTATTAAACTCGATTAAAATAAAACCCTTTGATCTTAACGTTTCCTTGTTCGTTGACTAAACAGTTTTATTTAATTTCCGGCCATTTTACTTTCTCGAGACCAGAAGCCATCACAGATAAAAATATTTAGGCTTACATAAAAACGACAATTTAACCACTTTAACAAATACTTGACTATGATTAGACAGAAGGCCTAGTCACAGGCATTCTGATTGGTCATTACCAAGTACGAAAGCATCTCCATATCATGGGGCTGTCAGAATCCGCACTCTGCAAAGGGTGCGAATAAGAAGATGAGACCATCGAGCATATGTCCCACAATAGATCTGAAAAGGTCGCGGTGGACAAGGACAAATAACGTCCAACTCCTAATCTAATCGAGCATATCCTTTGTGTTCGACGAGGATCGGCTATCGGCTAACACCGGCCGATATAAGAGAAGCACCTCTTAGCGACGTTGTCCACTAAATTAAATCTGTAGGCTGGCTCACGAGCTAGGAGGTGCATATCATCTCAGGAGGATGCAGATGGGGCCTAATGAGGCCTAAGTGCCGTGAGGGGTAACCCACCCTCCACACGTTGCAGATACAGAAATCTTGTTCTACTTGTTTTTTACATGTTACTCTTAGGGTTTACCTTCCTCTATTGTTTAGGAAATTTCTGTCCAATACCTTCTTCACTATCATTCCCTCGCCAACCACCTTATCCTTTGTGCTTTCACTATTTTTGTTATTATAGACTATACAATTCGTTATACCTATACTTATTACACCTTCTTTCCAAAACTCCATTTACTGTCTTAATATCTTTCTTTTCCATATCTGTAGTCTATTTGTCACATCTTTAGACATATTCCACGTCTCACATATGCGACAGTTACTGTCTCGCTAGCCTTCCCGCACAGTCATTTCAATTATCGATTGATTCAAATCCTTTGTAATATTGAATAAAAACCCCGTATCAGCGTTTTTGTTTTATTTTGATGCCTTTCTTCTAAAAGTAGTTAAAATATAATACATTAAAATAAAACTACAATTTTGTTAATTTCAGGTATTTATTTAAAACAACATAATCTCAAACAATATTTAAAAGTCTAAAACAGAATAACAGCGGTCATAATATCTCCCCAATCACATCACATCAATTTTTTTATTAAATACAATATTTGGCTTTTTTTATCTAACAGTAATAACAAAATGCAACTATATTTGAGCTAAAAAAAATAGGCACTTTTATTTTTAAGTAGCCTTTTTACAGTATTGGAAGAGTAAAAAAAGTACATAGCAGCCTAATTTTTTTTTAACAAGTCCAAGGGTAAATTAAAATCTATATTACTACGAATTGCTTGTATTTATATTAAAATTTAATAAAACTAATTGTATTTTTTTACAAGTACTGGTATTTTTATTCATTTATCGCTTACAACAATAACATGTTTAAATAGATACAATTATTTAATTTCAAACCCAAAACTTTAAAAAAAAATCTCCCATAATTTAAATCGCTTAATTAATAATTAAATCATGAAAGTACAGGTACTAGATTTAAGATAACTTTAATCAACTTGACACTTATTATATAATAATACCATCAATTACTAGAGATAATTGTTCTAAAAACAATTAAATGGTTCAGAACATGTTTAATGCATGCAGATGATATGGTGCTGTTGGCCAGAGAAGAAGACACCCCACTAAATAGTCAGTAGAGTTGTATAATGAAGGGAAATCCAAAATGAATCAATCTGGTATACAGACGGTTCTAAAATGAAAAACAGCAAAAGATTTACCATGCCATTTCAGGGAGGACCATAATTTTAAACCTAAGGTCACTGGCAACAGTCTTCCTGGCTGAAGTAGCAGCAATAAATGCCTCTGCCCAGGTTATGTTAAATGGCTCTATAAGACATATGATATATAGGAAAGCAGGGAATGGTGTACCTACACACACTAAATATGAGGTTAAGAGTCGAATAAGTACTTCAGTGTGTAAAAAAATTTAAATTTTTATTTAATATTCGGCTGAGCGCGTTCGGCTTATAAAGCTATCAAAGTCTTCCTAAAAGGTGTAATACATTAACAGTTTATTAAAATAAAGCGACCATCCGTCCCGATTTTAAATATAATATATATATAATCCGATTTCGTCCCGCTTTTGTCAGACTAAAAAAAATGTCGCCGTGCTTTTGGGCGATTAAAAACAATTTTGTCCCGCTTTTGTCTGATTAAAAATGATTTTGTCCCGATTTTGTGTTTTAGTCTTTAACGACCGTCGACTGTTTTCGATTTGTCCCGCTTTCTACTTTTCAAAATATGGTCACTTTACATTAAAATAGAATATAATTACAAAACCTATGCCTACTAGATATCAGCACAGAAAATTTTAGATTGAATAAGAACATTTGGAAATTAAAATTATTTTTTTGTAGTTCACCAAACGGGACCATACTTATCATCATAACCACCGTGGGTGCGTGGTTGCAGAATAAGCTCCCCAGCAAACAGTTGTGTCGTAAAATGCGAACATAGGTGCTTTGTTCAACTTTGTTGCTGCCTATTATGAATCTAATTTGTCTTTACTAGTTCCTTTCACTTTTCCAAAAAACTTCTTCTGTTCTTTCTTTCTAATTTACCATTCATTCTTCGACTAGATGCCATATATGGGTGGCCATGGTCTAGTCACGAATATAGAACTCCAAGGCTCGTAGAATCAGAGCTCTCCATTCTACTACACAAATTGAGTTGTACAATAGTATCTGAAATCAAGTATGCTTCGTTTTCTTCGGACCTTTGTTTGGATCATATCCTCTTACTATTTTATTTATTTTGGTGAATCTGTACGTTCCAGTTCGGTTGATTTCAGAACCATTCACCAACGTTCCTCTTTTATTTGTCAACGTCAATTTAATATGTCTTATCTGGAGTGCGTTTAGAAACCTCAGACGCGCCGTGCGAATTTTCTAAATGCACTCTGTACCATATACAATGAACGCTTGTCATCTGTCATGCCTCGCAGGCAGCGATCTATATTTTCCAATAATCATTTTATTATACAATATTGGTATTTCACTAACTCAACAGACAACTAAGGTTTGGACCCTTTTGTCATGTATTTTCAATAATTTTAATTTCCAAATGTTTTTATTCGGTCTAAGATATCCTGTGGTGGTATCTAGTAGATAACAAACCATCCTAATTCTCTCAGATAGCCAAGTAGCCTTAAAGGCTCTTGATTCAAACAGAATCAAGTTAAAGCTTGTCTGGAACTGCATTGGAATACTAAATGATCTGGCAACCCACAACAAGGTTAAACTAGCGTGGGTACCAGGGCACAAAGGTATCCAAGGAATTGAAAAGGCTGATGAACTCGCCAAAGAGAGATCAGATTTACCATTCGCAGGACCCGAACCTGTATTTGGGATAAGCAAAACCTCTCCTCGACAGGCAGTGAACAGGTGGATAATCACAAAACACCAAATTCACTGGCAACAAATAAGAGGGCATAGAATCAGTAAGCTCATGCTAAGGGGACCAAACCCACGCATGGCTACTGAGGCACTACAACTCACAAGGCCTCAGATATCCACCATTGTGGGATTACTAACGGGGCACTGTTTGCTGAAACACCTTCATGTGATGGGATTACACAATGATCCCACTACGTGTAGACTCTGAATGGAAGAGGAAGAAACCTCATACCATGTGATCTTCGAATGCGAAGCTCTTAATAGGCGACGTTTCATCCTTTTCGGCCTAGAACCGGAAAGGACGCCCCAGGAACACCTGGTAGAAAATCTATTAAAACTAACCAATGACACAGGACTATTCGAAAGATAGTACCTGAATACGGGGAAAGCGGGGGAATACAATAGACCCAAGAGGCCGCAGTGTTCTGGGCCAAACCTAACCTTACCTGCTTACAACCGATAAAGATAAAGATCTAGTAGATGTAAGTTTTGTAATTACATTTTCTTTTAATTCACTGTTAACATATAACACATTTGAGGAAGGTTTTGATCATGGATTTATAATATGAAAGCTTGTTAACATATAACACTGTTTCGGAAGGTTTTGAACATGGATTTATAAGCCGAGAGCTCTCAGCCGAATATTATTAAAACATTAAATTCTTTACACACTGAAGTACTTATTATTTCGCTCTTCTTCACCTTTATTAGGACAGACAAGCAGACAACCCTTAAATCAGTGAAAAGGGTATAAGTACAATCCAAATTAGTATTGAACTGCCAACGTCACTGGCTTAAGGCCCTGGCAGAACATAATAAGGTTAGACTTGAATAGGTGCATAAGGGAGTTTTGGGAAACGAGAAAGCATACCTCCTAGCTAGGAAGGGAGCTGATAAAACCCAAATTGGACCAGAACCCACTATGATATTTCATATCAACATTATAAAGGAATGCTAATGAAACACGTAATAAGAGAACACCATAAGATATGGGTGGAACTTCCTGGACTCAGGCCTTTCAGAATATTCATAGAGGGTCCATCCAAGAGCAGACAAAATCAACTTCTAAGCCTTACTGCAAGCTTAGAAGCACCGAAATCTCTTAGGGATATTTTACGACTCTGAAACTCCTTTTTACATACTATGCCTTTGACAGAACCTTGAATGGGAACGGGAATAGCATTTCGAAGTACAATATCAGGAATCCGAAGAAATCGGGAAAGCACCCATCAGACATATTCTTGAATTCATCAAGAATATTAACCTGATGGGGTAGAATATGTGAGGGGTACAATAAGCCTTAGAGCTTCAATACAGATAGATTCAGAAGAAATAAGTAAGAGGTGGAATCTTCATATTCATATCTTGATTGAAGTTAAAAAAAATTGAAATGGTAAAGAATAGAGCGCATTATGGGGAAAGTATATAGCCGATACCGATGATGATGATGATAATGATGATAATAATAATATTGCATTGTTCTAAAACTGGTCGCAAATTTTCTTATAACTTTTATTTATTTTCCTATGTGTTGGACAAATTATCCCTCTATGGTGATTTGTAATGTCGTGACATAATCTAAGACTAATATTGAGTCGATTTTTTCTTATGCCGAACCGAATGTTAGTCACGAAGCCAGAGAGCATAACGATAGCGGGGATATCGTAGTTGCCACATGTTGGCTGTGAAAGCACGGCTATGCCTAATACAAAATAATAAGTACTGTATATATTGACAATGGTAAAGAAGATAATGATAATATATACAGTGTTATCGTCCGTTAAAGTCCGCATCATATGGGAATTTTTATTATTTACTTTACGCAATTTTGAAGTTTATGAACAGTATTTGCTTCGACAATAATAAAAAATTGCGTTGACGACTTTTTCTGTCGTGTGAAATTAAGCAGTTGTATCTATGTAACCGTGATAAAAGAAAAACTCGTGGATTATATACATATACGACTTTTTGGATAATTTTTACTTATATCCATTTTTTAATTTAACAAAATATTTTTTTTACACCTCTAATGGTTTTTGATTTATTATATCTGTGAATACCAATATGTTGATATTGATATTTATTTAAAATCGGAATTTTCGACATAAAGCGCTATTAAAATTTGTTCAGCGCTGTTTGCGATAATCAAGCATGTTGTCTGTTACAAAGTATTGATATAATACGAAAGATAAAATATATTTCTTAAGTTAATAATATATAAATATAAAAAAATCACACTTTATAATACCGTATTTAGTATTGACAATTTTTCTAAAGGTAAATGTGGTAACAAATAACAAAACTCTGAAACTTAACAAATTTATTCTAAATCTATTTTATTTCAGTTTTAGAATAGCCACTTTGGAGCCTCAGAATATTTTTACAAAATAGGTAGGTTAGCAATTATATCAAACATGTTTAAATTACGGACTTTATAAGGTACCAAGCTAACGAATAGATATTTTATAATGTCTTCAAACGAATGTAATACTAAAATAATATACAGCACGTTACATTTAAAAAAAAAATGAGTATAAACTCGGTATAAAAACCAAATTAATTGCTTGGCAGTATTTTTCAAAAATATTCTAGGCTTGAATACAGCATTACCAGGCTATTCGAAATTTTGAAATAAAATATTTTTTTATTTGTAAGGTAAAAAAGTAACACTCACTTTACATCCAAAAATATTTTTTTAAATCCATAAAACTTTGATTTAAATATCGAACAATTACGCACTAATGAGACACTCTGTATTTATAATTAACAAATTTATGATGAATTCAGAGTTTCGCTATTATCGGTTATATAAATAATGGAAAATTACGTGATGCAAATAGCGCTTTTTAACTAATTAATTAATTAATAAGTATTTGGATCCAAAAACAAAATTGAGAATCAAAAATAATTCCTGATTCATAGTCGATAGACATAATACCTAGATATCTAAACAGATAAACTAAAAAAACACCTACTACTAAACATGTAGGTAAGAATTAAAATTCTTGGACAAATGAAAAACAGAACACCATAGGGGATACTTCGCAATCCACATTCTTCTATATTAGCCTCCAGAACAAGTTACATCGCTCCTTACGACAGATGTGAATTAGAGCTAGTTCATTTTGTTGCAAATGAAATAGCCACCTTGCACCTATATCCCTGTCTTTATTTGTACTATTAATTATTAAATGGAATATTTTACATACCTATCGCCTTTAAAGGCATTAGCTACTTAGGAAACAACATTTCATAAAAAATATCTATATTTAACCAACTGGAAGTTGTGGGAGAATATAACAATTTTAAGCAGCAAACAAAATAATTTAAGTCCTTGATTATTTGCTCCCATTTTTATAAACCTAAATAAAATTTAACAGGGATGTTTCAAGCTCCAGAGACCAATATAAACGTTTTCACCTGCCATAGTCTATAAATCTACAAATGTATCACTATTCACTATGCTATCATATCCATATCAAGCGTGTCCACGTCTTGGTCAATATGACTGGTAGGAGTTGGTGTGGGAAGACGTTGTTCGCAAAGAAGAGGATCTCCGGAACCTGGATGCGCTGGAGACGCCAATAGGGCGTCCGTATGCAGAGCGTTCGGCGAAGACAACATAGGATCGCCATTCACTCCGTATACAAGGTCATCATCGTCCATACCCTCTTCCATAGCTGAAAGGTTTAAGGAAGCCTCTGATAACGCGTCAGATATCACATCCGGCATCTGCAAACAAATTGATTTATTAGTGACCCTGTTGTACCTAATAATATATACTAGAATAATAAATTAAGTTCCTACATGATCATATGATTAAAAAGAAGCAAATCGGAAAAACCAACTGGGAACGTTTTCAAGATGACAAATAATATTCAACTGACCATAACACTAAAAACGAAAAATCAGCTAAATGAAGAACTAGAAAAGTTTATAGTGGAAATCTAACAAGCTGCATAGAGAAACACACCAACAGTTGTAAGATTAACAACTGGAAATACTACCCTGTCGAGATAAGAGAACTTGTAGTGAAAAAGAGAAAATTAAGAAAGAAAGAAATGGCACCAGAATATAAAAATAAATTAAATAGTGCTTCCCAAAGACTGAGAAGAGGAATCCTTCAACAGATACCTATTAAAGCTAACATATGACAAAGAAACTGATTACTCGCTCTGGAAGACAACTAAAAAGATAGAAAACCCATGTACCCACTGTCTCCTTTCAGAATAGCAGATTACAAATGTGCAAGAGACCATTAATAGAAATCTGATATTTTCGCTGAACACCTACAAAAGACGTTCCGATTGAGACTCGAAATTCGGCAAGTTACTTCCAATGAAGTTTCGAAATAAATTTAGACAAACATCAACCCAAAGAAATCCCCAAAATATATACCAAATATGTGGAAAATGGCTGAAATTATCCTAATTCCTGAGCAAGGAAAACCTTCGAATCAAGTGTCATCATATAGACCTATAATCATTGTTACCAATATCTAAACTATTTGAGGAGCTACTACTAAAATGACTAAAACCAATAATTGCAAATAAAAACCTGATCCTTTTGCACCAATTGGGTTTTAAAAACAAACACTCGAGAATAAATCAAGTACAAAGGATAGCCGATATCTAAAAAGGCACACGAAGAAAAAAAATATATTCTCAGCTATATTTCTTGACGTGGTTCAAACATTTGACAAGTTTTGGCATGCTGATACAGATACTTCGAAAAATATTCTTCAATCAGGAAGAATGTATAGAATGAAGGAAAAGGAGGCATACTTCGAATTGAAATAAATTAAAGCAGGTGTCCCACAGAGCAATGTGCTATGACCGGCTTTACTTATTATACACCAGCGATGTTCCTCAACAACAGCAACTTTTGCGAATAACACGGCAATATTGGCAATTGGCCCAAATAATAGAGAGACCTCAGAAAAACTTCAGGAAGTCTGCGAAATGAATCTACGAACAAAAAGTGGAAAATAATAAATGAAACTGAATCAGTGTATGTTAATTTTACTGTTCACCAAAATGCACAAAAATAAGAATAATCAATGATGTTATGCTGCATCACAATTCAGCCAAATACCTAGTGATAAACCTAGATGTACGATTTAAATTAAAATAATAGGTAATAAAAAAAAGTGCAAAGAACTTGATCCTTGTATTGGTTCCTAGGAAGAAAATCCAAAGTGACAGTGTACAATAAACTGTTGATTTATAAACAAATCCTAAAACCAGCCTGGATTTATGGCACACATTTATGGGGATGTGCTATCAACAATATACAAGTTTTCCAAAATAAGGTCCTATCTGTATCTGTAACGTGTGGAGGGTGGGTTACCCCCCCCCCCCCACGGCACTTAGGCCTCATCAGGCCCATTGTGCATCCTCCAAAGATGATAGGCACCTCCTAGCTCGTGAGCCAGCCTACAGATTTAATGTAGTTGACAACGTCGCCAAGAGGTGCTTCTCTTATATCGGCCGGTGTTAGCCCATACTCGCCGAACACAAATCTTCTAATAAATGAGAGCGTCGGGCAATCGTAAAGGATATGCTCGATGGTCTCATCTTCTTGTTCGCACCATCTGCAGAGTGCGGATTCTGACAGCCCATGATATGGAGATGCTTCCGTACTTGGCAATGACCAGTCAGAATGCCTGTGACCAGACGCAGATTCTCTCTAGTCATAGTCAAGTATTTGTTTGCTGCAGTGTTGTCAGGATAACTTAAGAGCTCCCTGGCAACTCTGCAGTTTCTTGTTTCATCCCATCTTTCCTTGAATTTCATAAGGAAATGTTCTTTAATTATGTCTGTCACTACCGATTTTGTCAGACCAATAGAAGGGCCAGGTCCAAAAAGTATTTAGTTGGCTGCTTTCTTGGCTAGTGAATCGGCAAGACGATTACCTTTTGATGTGGCGTGACCTTTGATCCATCTTAAGGTGACCACATTGTTGATGGATACTTCGGCCAAAGCTTCGTGACATTCTAGTACTAACCCTGAATAAATTCGTGGTCTGTTCAGGGTGAGTAGTGCTTGTCTGCTATCTGTACAGATGAGCATGTTCCTTCCAGTGATATTATTTCTGGTTATTTCTTTTGCTGCTATGATGATCCCCGTTAGCTCTGTTTGAACTACACTGTTTCTATTGCTCACAGCCCATTTTATGTTTAGGTTTAAGAATCTGGAGTATATTCCGCATCCTGAGCCTTGTTTTGTTTTAGAACCGTCGGTGTAGATATGAATCGTACCTGCCACTTCTGGCTCTTCTATTTGTTCTATTATAACTTTATATGGTTTATGGAAGATATATCTCGGTGAGATGGAGTCCATGTTCGCTTGAAGCAGTGGGAGCGTATCGAGCGCCTCCTGCCAAAAGTGATGTCTTGCCTCACCAGATCCTATATCAGGTTCTATTCTATGGTGCGGAGGCGTATCATTGTCGTCAGAGCAACCTCCTTGATGTTAATATCAAGGGGAGTGAGACTAAGAATGACTTTCATCGCTCTGGTTGGTTTTGTTTTCATGACTCCTGTTATGTTGAGACATGCTGTTCTTTGAATTTGTTCTAGTTTACGGATAGCTGTTAGTTTTTGGGTTTTCGGTACCCAAATAACTGCACCGTATGTTAGCATAGGTCTTATGATAGCCGTGTAAGTCCATGCGACGACTCTGGGGGAGAAACCCCAGGTGCGTCCCACAGTACGGCGGCATTGTTCATAAGCAATGTATGTCAAACAAACTCTGTTTTCTAAATGCGAGTTCCATGTTAACTTGCTGTCAAAGGTGAGATCTAGGTACTTCACCTCTGTCGCAAAGTTTAGTTTTGTGTTTAGGAGTTCTGGAGGTTTTAATTCCATTTTCATCCTTTTCCTTGTGAAAAGGACCATTTCTGTCTTCTTAGGATTGATAGACAGTGAATGGTCCTTGCACCACTGTTCTATAATTTTTAGAGCTACTTGCATTCTTTCGCGGAGTATGTTCTCAAAATTCCCTGTGTGCAGAATGACCAGGTCATCTGCATATGCGATTGTGTAGTGACTGTCATTATTGAGGCGACTGATGAGGATGTCGAGGACCATATTCCACAGTAGAGGTCCTAATGGCGGGAATACACGGAATACACGGAATACACGGTCTACCGGAGAGGTCTACCTGTGCAGGTGGCCTGCACAGGTCGAGCATATGTACGTAGCAAATTCAAATAACTGCACAGATCTATTCCAATACACGCTCCGATCTACCTGTGCTTGCACACCTGAACGTGTATGCCTCTCCTGTAGACCGTAGCGTGTATGCCCGCCATTAGATACATCGTTGATGCACTTTGGTTCTACCAAAACGATAATCTGCTTAGGTACCTGAAGATGCCAATAATCGAAGAAGACATAAAGAGGTTTTCTGCGAAACATGAGGGTCGACTCAGCTCCCACGTCAGTTAAGAAGCGCTTTGATGACTAGACAACTGTATACTCAAAAGAAGGCTCCCCATTGTACCAGTGTTGACCAAAACACTGATATAAGATATAACATCCTGGGTAAACTGTCAACATCGAAAAACAAATTACTTCTTAACCCAATTTCTGTCTGAATGCAGATATTCTTAAGAGCCAGATACCCCGAAGTACACTGCGTTTATATGCAACAAATGGAACACAGAAATATTGTACCTTTAAATCAGCATAGGCAGATAAATGAAGACAATTTAGTGGAAGTGATGATATCGAGCAAATTGGGATCAGAATGCCTTCCCAAAATCTTTGGGAAAAATGGAGAAACGACAGGCAGCACCGAAGAATAAAACGTTCACCTCGATGAAATCCTAAACCAGGAAGCTACCGGAATCTTATAGAAGAATCTTGACAAAAAGCTAGTAGAGGGGGGTTTTTACAGGGCCTTCCGGACGGTATCAGATGGAACCCGCTTCTGCTATGAAACATCATCGTATTTATGAAGATTTCCCCCTCCCTACAGATACAAATACAAGTATAATAACATATATGGAGTTAAAACCTAAATCCGTGTCTCATTGAGAAAACAGTTTAGGCTGAACTCCATGCAATTGATTTTTGTTTAAAGAAGCTCAGACATTGAAGCAGCCTTAAAGATCCTTGTCAAACTTAACGAATATGACAATTGCAGAACGCTGGCAAAAGAAGGAATGCTTGATGAATATAGTCTTGAGGATAATAATAGGTACCAGAACGTAAAGGAATTCAAGGAAATAATGAACCTTATGATGGACTGTGAGTAATCAAGAACAAATTGCGCTTCGAAGTTTTGGACCATAAATCTTATGAGGTCTTGTCTTGATATCTCCTATTATCCAGTCCAGAATAACGATTTAATTTTTTTATTTTGAAAAAAAGAACACCTACATAATTTGACAATAGTGAATTGATTAAAAACAATCACTATCAAAATTTGATTAGAAATATTTAAAAAAAATATAATATGGCCTTCATTCACATTATTCGTAATTCCTTAATAGCTATAAATAATTTAAAATAGGTTTATTTTTATTATGATCATTATGACATTATATAATAGTAATAACAACTACGTACAAATAATATGGGTATCATAATATTGTTGTAGATACCCTTTTAAATATGTATTAACCGGAGATGACTAATTTTGAGAAGGTATTTTAGGCACTTTAAAATTATAATCGAGAGTCTGGAATGGCACTTGCGATTATTTTGCTGCTGCGCAGCTTGGAATTATTTATTTTTTTTAATTTTAAGCTTTTATAGAATCTAGAAATAAAAAATTCAGCAATGTAAAAAATGAAAAACGGCATAATTTTAGGCTCAGTTTAGGCTAATTCTATACCAACATAAAAGTTCCCCTCTTGCCATTTATAAAGTATTTCGTTAATACAATTGAGGAAACTAAAAAATAGGTACGACATAATTTTAGGCTCATTTTAGGCTAATTCTATACAAACAAAAAAAATTCCACTCTGGCCTTTATTGGAAAAATTAGGTGCTCTGCTAGCTTGACAACATGAGTTTCTAAAGATAAAGGCCAGAGTAAAAATTGTTTTATATTCGTAAAGAATTAGTCTAAAATTAAAATTTTAAATAAGTAACAATTCTGTCAAACTAATTGTCAGTATATTTTTTAGTTATTGAGATTAAATATACATTAAAATCAGTTATTTTTGTGTAGAATCGATAAATAATAGCATTTCTATTTTTATTTCGTTTATTATTATTACAAGTAATTCGTCAATTTTAATAAAACTGTATAAAACTAATTTAATTAGGAGTATTAAAATAAAATACAAATGTGGCGGGGGACGTGAAAACGCGGCGTCTGTCTTCCTCAAATCTGGGCTGGGGGTTAATTAAATTAAATCTTTTTGTTTCTATGTTTATTTTATTTACAAATTTGTAAAAGTCATAAATTATTTTAAAATTAGTTATTTTATCTTAATAACCTAAAATATTTTTTTAAATTTCTAGATTTTCGTTAGTAGGTCGTCGAAAAAATATATTCTACAACTCGAGTGGATTGTCCACATCGCACTCAGACGATTGAGTACTCCACCTATGGCCATATTATCCACTCTTGTTGCACAAACTACTATAACCTTCCTGTTTCAACCCCAAAGAAGCGGTAGATGTTACCTTTATCAGAATCCTAAAAGGAAAGGGGGGTCATGTAACACATCATTTTTAAGTTAATTTTATGGAGAATTCAGCACTATGTTGGATAACTATTACGTATTATAAAGTGCGACTGCATTTGAAAGCTAATTTTATTAGTAATTTAAGGTGTAGCATACATTTATTTTATGTGATTGTGATTAAAATTTGTATTTCTTAATGTTAGAGATTCGCACGTCTTGTTATATATTGTGAATTAAATTCGGGGCAGTCTGGTCATACTTCAAAACCGTCAACAGGCTGGGATTTTTATTTCTAGATTCTATAAATGCTAAAAGTTTAAATTAAAATTAATTTTTGCTAATGTCATATGCTGTGCAGTAACAAAATAACCGCAAGTGCGATTCCAGATTTACTAACAACGATACAGTACTGTTTTTATAATTCCAATTACTTAAAATTCCTTCCCCAAATTCGTCATCAACTCTTGGACTATATTAATAAGTACTTACTTTTCGACAAGGATCCTGTAAGACGATTGGAGGTAATAAAGTTGTTACAGAATGTGAGTTCTGCTGATTGCTGTACGAATTGTACGGAGGAGGTGAGGTGACTGAAATATTTTGCCAGTTGAAGTCGGAAACCGGAAGACCGTGAGATTTCGCCTGTCTTTCAAGCTCCTAAAAAATAAATTAAACTTTTTACTAGAATTTTACAGTTACCCTAACTCAGAACTAACCTGTACTCGTAATTGTAGTCTTCTATTTATGCTTTCCATTTGCTTCTGTCTAGCCTCTTGTTGTTTTAGCCTGTGCACTTCGTTTTTCAGACATTTTATATATTCGACCGATGATTTCAAGATTGTTCCTTTGTTGGGACGGACGTCCCTGACGATTTCGTAGTAAGGATCGTTATTTTTCGGCAGTAACGTTCCCAATTCTTTGATTCGATCATTTATGTTAAATCTTCTCCTTCGTTCAACTGAAAACAAATACAAATGTTTAATAATATAGGTGGTATCAATAAGGGTCATCCTTCAGCAAATAATACACAACCAAAAGGCTAGGAACATATTATATTGTGTTTTAGTTCAATCATACGGTGATGGATAGCAAAAAATAGGGAAGAACATTTTATTTACTACATAGTATTTATGTCTAAAATAGTCTCATGTTAGGCTTCACTTTCAAAAACTACACAAAGACACAGGGTGGCGAGACTCTTAAAACAGTATAACATTGGGTGACAACACTGAGAAATTAGCAGTATGTTTGTTGTAGTAGGTCCAACGGGTCGTATCGTTTTAGGTATTGCGATGGTTACTGAGTTGATCCTGGTATTTTTCACTTAGGAAAGCCGTTTCTTCATTCACCGTTTTCAATCTTCAAATGTCTTTGTATGACATGGTTAGGTAGATACAACGGTGCATTGCAGATTGTTTGTAAGGTTTTTGAATGAAAACGTTGTATTGTTTTATTGGAATCGCTAGTGTTGACTCATATCCTGGGCTCTGTAACTTCATATTGGTTTCAATATTAATTCATATATCACAAAAATTTTTTGTAATGTCAGTTGGTGCCCATGAACTGGTACATTTTTCTATAGGCAATTCCGAGTGGAAGACGTTTGCTCCAAATATTTTTTCTACAATTGTCATCTGTATAGATGAATACACAGGTACTTCCTTCACGTGGTCTTTTTGAGGTAATGAGGTGTTTTTTACTGTAACCATAGGACATGTTTGTTTCTTAAGAGTAAATGTAACTTTTATTCTTCATGTATCTAGTCGTTTTTTTATTTTTGAAGCGATTTTGAAGTAGACTTGAAGCTGACGTTGGGTCTTTATGAGAAGCCATTACTACTGTATCACCAACGAAGATTGCTGTTGCAGTATTACTGGTAATCGTAAAATCTTTTGTAAATATGAAATACAATATTGGTCCTAAAGAAAATGAGAATACGCTCAGATCGCACTGAACAATCCAATGAAAACTGCCATATATGATATTGTTGAGAAGCAAAAAAATCACTTTTATATCTGTTTTTGCTTATAACTTTTTTCCTGAAAAATTCAAGGCACCCTCAAGACCATTATAATTTTTATTTCAAAAAGTCACTCTTTATACCATCTTAATCAGGTAAATTAAGTTAAATTATCATATTCTTTTCCCAGGAGTGTATATACAGGGTAAATCTTAAGTTGATATTTTTCTAACCAAAAATAAACAACTTTTTCAAATAACGTTTTCAAAAAAACTCTTAAATAAGAAACTTACATTAATTTATTCCGAAATGTATCCAATACGGTCCTGTACAACACTCGTCGAAAAAATGTTGATTATATTCATGCTGTTGTAGAAACCATTCACAGAAGTGAACTTTGCAGGAGAAATGTTGAACGTGAAAGGGATACAATTGATTATCCCGCACTTGTTGGATCTTCCTCGATAGCATTATTTAAAATGTGTTCTTATAAATGCACATTATTTTCAATTTACCATACTGAACTGAACATAATATTGAATGATATCAGGCGACTGAATTACAAAAAATCTTACACGATGAATTTTCATAAGAAAAAACCGAATAACAAATAAAAACATAAACAGACACAAGTCCAGACCCGGAATTAAATTTTTTAATTTTGTATCTTTCTTATTTTTCAGTTTTTTGAAAAAGGTGTTTATTTTAACAGTTAAAAAAAGTTATCTTAGGATTCCTACAGATATAAGCCACTGAAAAGTTAATTTTTTGCACGGTCCGTTGTATGGCTGAACTGTTTATAGATTTAGAAAAATTTTACATACCCGTACTCTTGATTTTTTAGCTTTTGCAAGGGAGTGATTCAATAATGGTCCTATAAAATCCTAATGAAATTGTAATTTATGTAACTATAGTACTTACTCATATTATGATTGTCTTTCTTTTGACGGTCTTTGGCGAGAGCGTGTAATTCAGCATCACTAAGTAGATAGGGCTCATTTTTGATATTGAGATCACTTCCGGTAAGGGAATTATCCGTTTTAAAGCCATCAGAAGCTAGAGAACTGGATTCTAGAGATAATAGATCGTCTATAAGCTCTTCAGCCTGAAACAAATAGATAAAATAATCATGATTACTTAACGAATCTCAGCAAGACTATTTCTAAAATGTGAAAGAATCCAGGAATAAATTCCAGAATCCAAGGGGTGACAACATACTAAAGAAAAATTAGAATATCGTTTTTGAAATAAATCCGCTCCGGGCAGGCTCGAACCTACGTCCTCTGGATTTCCGTTCCAACATCATGAAAGGAATAAATTCATCATTTCGTAAACCGGCGAATTTATAGAAAAATCCTGAAATCCGCCGATTTTTATTTGTAAACGGGAGTTTCGTAAGATTATCTTTTTATTTTTGACGTCATTTGTGTGACCGTGATGGCGTTAACGATAAGTATTTTAAATAGAAAGATCTTTTAAATACCTATTTAGACATATCAATATGATTAAGTAATTGACTTTTGTTTATTGTCAAAAAATTATTTATAAAATACCAATAGATTTTTCAGCACAAATTATTTTTCTCATGTATCATGAGACCCAAAAATAAATTTGGTAAAGGCTGTCACTGGCAATGACATGACGAACCTGTAAACAACGATCAGTTAAAAAAATCTAGATATCTTTTCAAAATTGCTACGTTGATAATCAACTTAATTGGCTTTCTGTCAAGTAGTTATTGGTAATAACAATAATAGTATTTAAAAAGTATTTGTAGCTATTTATCAACATGAAGTTGACTGAAACGGAAAGAATTGAAATTCTAATAATGATTGGTAAATAAATATCCCAACCGAGAACCAATTTCACAATCCACAGTTAGCAAAATTGAGAAGAAATTCAGAGAAATGGATCATGTATAGTCTGTTAACTATACTTACACGGGTATCGTATTAACAAAATTACGCAAATTAGTCATTGACAACCAGTTCCAATAAGCCTCTTCCCAAGAAATTAGGTAAAATTGCCCTAATGGTCAGATTTAAATTAAAATAACATTAGGATAGGTACTAAATTTGTTACAAATCATTAATTAATTAATCCGAAACCCGCGTAAGTATAGTGAACAGACTGTAAAAGATCTCCCTAAAGATAGTAAAAAGCAAATAACAGAAAACAAGAAACTAAATGTTCTGATAGCCTTTGAAGAAAATCCCGATACCAGTTCACAGCAAGTACCATTATATAATGACATTATTCATTCAAAAGTGGCATTCCTACAAAGAAAATTTAGTAGAGGAACTTTTAGAAGATAATTTTGATAGATAAGTTGAATTTTGTGAAATTATAATAGACACAATGTTTTTAAAAAAGTTATATTATCTGATGAATCTAAATTTCTCCTAAGAAGTTATGTTACTCGTCAGAGTTGTCAGTATTGGTATACGAACAAACCACACTGGATGCAGGAGTACCATATTCAGTACCCAGAGAAAGTAAATGTTTGGCCGGTAATAATAGCCAATAAGATTATAGGACCATATTTTTTGAAAAGACCTTCCTAGGTCCTTGATATTTAGAATTTTTCCAAAACTTATTGATCTCCGAATTGAACCGGTTGTTCCTAAACATAAATAATTTGTGGCTGCAGCAAGATGGCGAGCCTCCACATTATGCGGTGGTGTTGAGAAACTACTTGGACAACATCTCCCATATCGACGAATAAGTGGAGGATCAAGAGAATAGCCACCTAGATCACCAAATTTAACTTTTAATATTTTTTATGGGGATACTTGACAGGTAAAGTGTACCAAAATAGACAAACAAAATATTAATGAATTCAAAGAACGGATTACAAAAATAACTGCATTTTAGTTAAAGAACATCAATTTGAGCACTTGATTTAAATTTGGTTGTATTTAATATATAATATTCTACAAATTCAAGTATTTAAGATGTAAGTTTTAATTTCTTGTTTTTTACTACCTTTGGGGAGGTTCTAAACATGACATGTGTCTCTAAATTTCTTCTCAGTTTTGCTGTGGATTGTGAAATTGGTTCTCTGTTGGGATATTTATTATTAAATAAATTACATACATCTTTCCGAATCCTTGTATTATTTAAATTGGTTAGTGTGACGTGTTGTGACACGAAGGTCTGTGTTTACAGGTTCTTTATTTCATTGTCAGTGACACCCTTTGCCAAATTTATTTTTGAGTATCAATTAATACATGACAAATATAATTAATGATTTGTGTTAAGAAATCTAATAATTTTTTTGTCAATAAACACAAATCAATAACTTATGTCTAATTTGCGGATTGGAATTTGACCGCTGCCGAGTAATAGGAGTTAATATTTCTGACAAGTAATATACATCCCAATACCTTTTTGCCAGGTGAAACTATTTTTCCCCCTAACGGCTCCAAGGGGTACTTTACTCTTGTCAATTATGACAAAATTAGTGCCAGGTACTAGAAAAAACACTCTAGATAGTTAAAACTTTGCACACGTAATCCTTATCCTAATATCTTTTTGCTAGGTGAAAACATTTTTCATCCCATTACCTCCAAGGGGTACTTTACTCTTGTCAATTTTGACAAAATTAGTGCCAGGTACTATAAAAAACACGCTAGATTGCTTAAACTTCGCACACATAATTCTTATCCCAATACCTTTTTGCCAGGTAAAACCATTTTTCCCCCATCGCATCCAAGGGTTACTTTACTCCTGTCAATTTTGACAAAGTTAGTGCCAGGTACTATAAAAAACGCTGTAAACTGTTGTGACTTCGTACCCGTATTACATAACCCAATACCTTTTTGCCAGGTGAAACCATTTTCCCCCCATTGCCTCCAAGGGGTACTTTACTCTTGTCAATTTTGACAAAATTAGTGTTAGGTGCTAGAAAAACAACCTAGATAACTAAAACTTTGCACACATAATTCTTATCCCAATACCTTTTTGTCAGGTGGAACCGTTTTTCCCCCCCATCGACTCCAAGAGGTACTTTACTCTTATCAATTTTGACAAAATTAGTACCAGTTGCTAGAAAAAACACGCTATATTGCTTAAACTTCGTACACATAATTTATATCCCAATACCTTTCTGCCAGGTCAAACCATTTTTTCCCCCCATCGCCTCCAAGGGGTTCTTTACTCTTGTCAATTTTGACAAAATTAGTGCCAGGTACAAGAAAAAACACGCTAGATTGCTTAAACTTCGCACTGATAATTATTATCCCAATAAATTTTTCCAGGTGAAACCATTTTTCCCCTCATAGCCTCCAAGGGGTACTTTAGTCTTGTCAATTTTGACAAAATTAGTGCCAGATACTAGAAAAAACAATATAGATAGCTAAAAAGAATTATGAGTGCGAAGTTTAAGCAATCTAGCATGTTTTTCTAGTACCTGGCACTAATTTTGTCAAAATTGACAAGAGTAAAGTAACCCTTGGAGGAGATGGGGGGAAAATGGTTTCACCTGGCAAAAAGGTATTGGGATAAGAGTTATGTGTGCGAAGTTTAAGCAATCTAGCGTCTTTTTTTATAGTACCTGGCACTAATTTTGTCAAAATTGACAGGAGTAAAATACCCCTTGGAGCCGATGGGGGGAAAAATGGTTCCATCTGGCAAAAAGGTATTGGGATAAGAATTAGGTGTGCAAAGTTTTAGCTATCTAGCTTGTTTTTTCTAGTACCTGGCACTGATTTTGTCAAAATTGACAAGAGTAAAGTACCCCTTGGAGGCGATGGGGGGAAAAATGGTTTCACCTGGCAAAAAGGTATTGGGATGTATATTACTTGTCAGAAATATTAACTTCTAACTATTACTCGTTTAGTACCTGGCAGCGGTCAAATTGCAATCCGCAAATTAGACATACCCATAACTTAGACATATTGATGTGGCTCAATAGATATTTAAAAAACCTTTTTAATGATATGTTGCAAAATCCACATTTCTGTTTAAAAAACTTATCGATGACGTCTTCACGCCGACACAGATGACGTCAAAAATAAAAAGGAAATCTTACAAAACGCTCGTTTACAAATAAAAATCGACGGAGTTCTACGAGTTTTCATAAAGTCGCCAGTTTACGAAATAATGAATGTGTTCCTTCCATTAAAATTTTTAATATTACCTTGCCCATCTTATTACGTTTTTACAAGTATTATTTTTTTTAATTTATATAATTTTAGGTATATTAAAAAATACAATGCTATGATAAAAATAAGTCTGTTAGTTAAATTTAATGAATGGCTTTGTGTAGTGTAGGAAAACAATGACTGACTGTCGCACATTAGGTGTGATTTCCATTAATATTAACAATCTTAAATTGTTGTTTGGCTGTAATAAGCTTATAAAGGAAAATTATTGTTTTCTTCTAAAAGTGGATGTAACTGTTCTCACCATTTGACAACGTTAAATTATTTTTACACTTCAATTATCTGGGTGTTGAAGAATCTGAAGGTCGTTTATTAAATGATTATTGCAAACCTTTACTTTAGATTTCCATTGTTAATTTTTTTTATATTTGTAAATAGATTCTAAAGGATCTTTATAATTTTATGTAATTTTTAATTGCAGGTAGTATCATTATTTACACTTATTGCCCACTTCCTAAAGATATCAATTTAATGAATTAATCTCGGGTCTTTTTATATCTATAAGTTAATAATTTTTATTCTTATATTTATTAAATTGAATACAAAACATAAATATATTCTACCAGAACGGCTTTTTGGGGGTATATTTGGTCCTCTTCTCAAATATTCTACCTTTGATTAACTATTTTTTGAATTCCATAATCTGATGATTAATTTAAATAATGTTGCTAATAATATAATCAGTTTCTTGACAAATCTTTAAATTCCTCATTATTTTTTTTTTCCGCACACTAATGATTGTTCTTCTCTTTGTCAATCTTTTGTACTTTAATAAAATCTAAAGCTATGACAAGCTTCTTTATTTCTATTTAATATTCACGGAAAATGAGACCCTTGCAGTGTAAAAGTGGACGAGAAAACGAATAATCATACATAAAATAACCTCGTACTTTATGTTTTTGTGTGCCATTTTTATGATGAGTTCCGTAGGAATGTAATG